GTATAAAATAGAGAAAATATTTAATATCCTAAGTGCACCCTCCAGCCCTGTTGCATTTAGGAACCCCTGAGTACACTTCAACACCAAGACATTTTAAACAGCAACACTTACCAATGCAAAGAAGAGAAATGGGGAAAACGTGGCCCTAGATAGACTACAAAAGGAGACTCATTTACAGTAGGTGAGCTGAAACAAAAGGCAGACCACTGCCCTGTTGTCCTGTTCAACGGGGAAAACAGCCATTGGACAACTCACAAAAATAATTTCCAAAACACCTTGAATATTGTTTGGACGTTACTAGCAAATTTTAGTGAATGGGGAATTTCTAAGTATGGAATCCATGAACAGCAGGGACTGACGGTATATTTCCAACTCTTTTGAATTTATGGCTCTCTATGATCTATCCCTCACTCCTAAAGCCAACCCTACATCTCTCTCTGGAGGCAATGTAAACACTAGCTGAACAGAACAACCCGGTTTCTCAAGCACACAGTGTTCTTTCATCTTTCACAGCTACTCTGTACCCCACATCTTCTCATCACCCTCCTGGGACAACCTACTACTCCCACATTTCCCTAACCCATCTGTCACAGTGTCATGGGACTCATAATATGAATAATAATCACAACATCCTAATTATTAGAGCTCGATTCATGGACTGTTTACTATGTACCCAAGCACTGCTCTCAACAATTTACAAGTAAGAACTTAACCTGCCCAACTTATTGACAGAGATCATTAGTATCCTCCATTAGAAAAGAAAACAGAGCTGAAAATATCAAGTACCTTGCTCAAGTCACTCAACAGAGGAGTAGGAGCCTCAGAAAGGGATGTGGGCCACCCTAATTGGAGCCTAGGCTGAATCACAGTGCTGCGCTCTCACAATAACTGCTAAATCTAGGAGCACTAAGATGAAGATGCTTCTTTCAGCAGTATGGGGACAGGGATGGAAATGGAGGAAGGAATACAGAAATACACAGTTCACTCCATACCTTACCATTGGCATCCAAGAAGAAAATATTCCAATGACAGCAGGTACTGTGTGTGGAATTATATCTGTGTAACTATGCATAATTATCTCCTATCACGCAAGAAGGTAGAAATCCTCTTAAAAATTAGAACATGAATCTTAATTCTGAAATAATATTTTCATCATTACCCATTACCTTTTCTACCTTCACATCTCAGTTGTTTTTTTTTTCCTTAAAGATAAACCTGAATAAATTAAGGAAAATGTTTATAAAACTTCATAGGGTAAAGCACATCATATGGTTTAGAAACAATTTCTTCAAAAAAAAAAAAAAGATAAAGAGTGTATTTTGTCCTCAGTGAAGTTAAATGAAAGGGTTGGGTGCAGTGGTGCACACCTGTAATCCCAGTGGCTCAGGAAGCTGAGGCAGGAGGATCATGAGTTCAAAGCCAGCCTCAGCAACAGCGAGGCACTAGGCAACTCGGTGGACCCTGTCTCTAAATAAAATACAAAATAGGTCTGGAGATGTGGCTCAGTGGTTGAGTTACTGTGGTTGAGTTACCCTGAGTTTAATTCCCGATACCAAAAAAAAAAAAAAAGCAGGTATTTTTCTGTGTCTTGTAGAATCATACAAACATTTAGTCACTTTGGATTGAGATTTTGGAGTTATTTTATCAGAAAAATCTGTTCCATAGTGATGCTGTGCTGAGAAGGAATGAGAGGCCCATCTGCCTTCTCAAAGGTATTGCGGTTCATTATCCATTAACAAACTGTTGTTTCTGCCTTGTTGGAAAACTCAAAAACATGCCTTTGACTACCATAATGTGAGTTCCCCAAAAGGAAGGAAGGGAAACACCATGGTTAACTATACCCTGGGATCCAGGTGCCATGCTAATCACCAACTGATGGCCTGGCAGGGCCCTCCAGCAACCTTGAAATAGAAAAGTCACTGTCCATCTTCACAGCTGAGGAAACTGATGCCACACAAGTATTTTCCCTCAGAAGTAGGGAAACTTACATTAAAATCTAGAGCCACCCTACCCTGTACCCCCAGGACTCCAAAGACATCATTTAACACTTCCTGGCTATTGCCTAACTTGGAAGAAATGAAATGAGAAATTCAGTTCATCTTATGGATTAAATTTTTCTTCAAAGAGATTCAAAATATTATTCAAGCCTCAAATTTCTCCTTCAAGTTCAGTGAGGAGTGTAAAGGGAAGACGACATTTCTTTTGGAAACACAGAGATAATTCTGTACAGAGTGCTAACTCCGTCTAGAGTCTGCAGCCAGCTTGCAGTGTTGCAAAATGGCCTCTAGGTGGTGCAATAAGCCCGTGAGTCCCTGGACAGGGGCTTATTTATTTCTGCCGTTATTCAAAAGTGAAAATACCAGCTTGTCAAAGTGGTTGGCTCACTTCCAGCACAGAAATCATTACTCAACAGTCTTTCCAACTTCTAGACTCTCTGATGCAAGACCATGGCCTGGGAGGAGCTCTAGGGGAAGACCTAAAATTGAAAACTAAGAAGAAACCACAGGAAATAAAATAAAATAAATAAAGGAAACCAATAGTCTCTTTTTGTTATTCTCTGTTCAAGGTTTTTTTTTTTTTTCCCTAAAATAACTTTTCAGGTCCTTGAGAAGAGAACTTATCAATTCTGAAGGCCTTAACATCACAATAAATTGACTTTCAGCAGGGGGAAAAAAAAATGCTTCATTAAGTACTCATAAAGCAGAGCACTCACCAGACACAGAAAATGAAAACTGAGATAAACCCACAGCAGAAGTGTAGAAGGAATTAGCAATAATGTTAAGACAGATGGAGCTACATTGAGAAAAATTACTCCCATGTTGGCTCATGGAATAGTCTGGAGATTTTATATAAAAACAGAGTCCTGCCCCCCTTTCTATATAACTTTCAGAGGGCCCAGGGTCTGGAATAATTCCAGTTCTACTCACTGCTCATTCCCCAAGCTTAATCTCTCCTCTGTCCCTTTGCACTATGCACTCTGCTACTCAAAACCACCAAGACCTGGGGCAGGGGCACAAGGCCGTCCTGCCTCGAGGTAATTTATGGAAAGAGCTCAGCATCTGCATTTTCCACATAATTCAAAATAAATCCAGGCAGTGACAGAAAGATGATGAAATTGCAGCAACACAGGGGTACCAGGCTCTGGGCCAGGAAGGGGTAGCAGAATCAATCGGGAGTATGTTTGAAATGCACACACCTTAATCTCATCTTGGGAAGTTTGATATGACTTAAGGGTAAGGCGAGAGGCTGGGGTATTTTGCCAAATCTCTCAAGTGATGTGGATATGTCTTGCACAGCACAGGAAAGTAAAATTAGAAAGAATTGGAAGGGAGGCAGAAGGCAAGTGTTGTCCACCTTCCCTGGGGTATATCTTTGGGAAACTGCTCTTCTTACTCTAAGTAAAAACAGGACCTTGATCATCAACACACATCAGGTATAGGAAATTCTCACCTGGTCCGTCAATCCTGACTCTTTCTGCTGAAAGTTTTAAAATTCAATTCACTAAGAGATCAAATGTTGAATGTCAAGGTCAAAATACAGGATATGATGGTGGAAAAATTCTGTCAGAATACCTTTTTAAAGCAAGTTCCAAAGCTGAATATATTGCCAACAAATATTCTTATTAGAAAAGACAAGTTGAAACTAACATTATAAAAATGGTAACTTAGATTATTTTTCTAAGTTTAAGAGACATTATTGAAGAGGGATTAAAATATATATATATATGGTCAGTGTGACCCACTGCTAGTTAAAGTATAAATTACAGAACGTTAATGGATAGTAATGAGGCAATACCAAAAGTATTAAACATCTCTACCATATATAATTATAGTGCCACAAATTTATACTAATAAATGTGATCATGGATGTGCATAAATATTGGGCTGCAAAAATGATAGAGACTTAATGGAAGTTATTAATAGTTTTCAAACATTGAATCAGTAAAAGAGCTTAGTTAAATCAACTTCAGTACATTCAACTTAAAATAAATAAATAAATCTCTCAATAATGAAAAACACCTATTATCTGATATAGAAGCATTTTTAATTAAAAATTTCGAAGAAAATTCAAAAACATTGTGAATTTTAAAGAAAATTCCTATAGAAGACAAGTCCTCCCAAGTAACATATAAAGTACCAGACTACTTTTGTTAAATTAAATGTAAACATTAACATATGTATACAATACATACATACACATAGTGTACATATTAGTATATATTAACACACGAGTATGTGTACATGTATATATACAGATATAATTTTGTCCAAGAAAGAGTATTAAAAAAGTACCTAGTGATTTCTAATCACTGAAGCAAAAATCTCATTCATGTCCTTTTTTTTATGGAACTTAAAACCCAAATTTATACCTGCAAAATTTGAGCTTACCTGAAGGCCACCCTGAAACTGATGGTGATAGGGTAAGAACAGACTACAAGTGGATATAACAACAGACTACACTCCAAACAAGTTGTGTTCTAATTTACAAACTAAGAAATAAAATGGAGGAGTCAACCTATTAGCACCTGTGGCAAGATAAACCTTTCAGGAAGATATAAACTGTATGAATCTTATCATGATTAAATTTCAAGAATTTTTCAATTTGATTGTGATACAAAATCCGTGCACGTAAGTAATGCAATCACTGACCCAATGATATGGCCTCTTCCACCATTGCCAGCATACAGCATTTAACTCAAACAGAACCTCAAGCATCTTGTGAAGCAGATTTCAGGGAGATGAGATGCAATCCGGGCTAACTACTCTTGGTTACACTTAATCAGAACTGAATAAACAAAGGCAGTATTAGTCACACTTGTGCAAGTTATTCCATTTCACTGCAGCCAGAGGACTTTCATGTGATCCTGTTTAAACCAGCTAAACATCTGGAAATGTGGAAACTATTCTGTAAAGTACAAGAGGACCACACGCCTGATGCGGCTGAGGTCAGCCACGGGGAGGCTGGAAGGAGAGAGAGCTTACTGGAGACATCTTACTTACAATGAAGCCAAGTTTTTTATAATCCCGCGTGTACATGGACTTGCGCTTCTCCATGCTGCCGCTGCTGTTGTTAGGCTCAGACTCGGCATCAAAAGCAATTCTTCGAAGTTCAAATATGATGTCTCTTTGAGCCTAAAGGAGTTAGGGAGGGGAGAAAAAGGAGGGAGGGAAAGCTGCTTTCATTGTGTGATGTGACACAACTACCTCTTTCCCCAGAGTCTAAATGAATCACTGCATTCAGGCAAAAGAAAAACAGATAAAAGACAACCAATGTTCGAAGTTAGGGCTTTGCTGACTTCTCTTCCTCCTGCCACTCTCCCTGATGGTTAGCCTGGGCCGTATTCCACAATTCTTCTTGCAGCCAACTCATTTGGAGGACTAATATCAGTTGCTCAGGACTGTCCTACATGAGACCCCCAATGTGATGGAAGGGTTGTGACTGGAAAAGATAAAGTTGGGAGAACCTGGGAGCACTGCGCTGTTAGAGAGGCACACAGGTTCAGGGACAGTACTCGGGTTACAAGGGACCCCTACAGAACAATTTTATGGACACTAACATGTCACTAAAACAAATGAGCCAAAAGGAAGAAACAACCCCAGTGTCATCCATGGAGAATGGATAAAACACAGGTCCAATAGACAGACAGTGGTGGCATATTATTCAGTCACAGAAAGGGACAAAATTCTTACACAGGTGACAATGTGGATGAACCCAAGATATTTTTTGCCGAATGAAATAAGACACAAAATGACAAATATTTTCTAATTCCATTTCTACAAGCTTCCTACAGTAGTCAAACTTCTAGAAACAGAAAGTGGCATAGGGTTACCAGGGGCTAAGAGGAGAGGGCAGTTGGGCAGTTATTGTTTAATGGGCACAGAAATTCAGTTCTGCAAGATGGAAAGATTCTGGAGATGAATTGTGGTGATGTTTTCACAGCAATAGGGAATGAGCTTCATGCTAGTGAACCGTACACTTAAAAAATGGATAAGATGATAAATGTTAGGTTAAGTATTTTTACCATAACAAAAAAAAATTTCATAAAAAAAGAAGAATTTGGAAATGAGGAGCATTGTTCCATTATTAGGATGCACTGCTCTCCATCACTAGAAGTGGTAAGATGACAGTCTCATCTCCCTGGGATGATTACACTTGGCCCTGCCAAAAATGTGCGGCACGGTCACTGGCCTCTCTTAGCCTCCTCCATCATTCTTAATCGCATGGCCTTGTGCCATGAATGAAGTGTTGCAGCAGCCACACACTCCACACATGCAGCCCACATCTGCAACAGATCAGGCCCTCACGTGCCAATAATGAGTGTTTTCCTCTCCAAAGCTGCAGCACTGCTTAAGTTGAAAATGTGCTACAGAGGGGCAAGCTTCCCAGCTGTTTCCTCTCACTCTACTCTCACACAGTAAAGTTCCCCCAAAAGCTTCTGGATGGAGACAGAATCTTTCATGGAAACAACCAAAGACTTAGCAGGGAGTTAGAGCAAAGAGCCAACTAACAAAACTGCCAGCCCGAAAATCGGGTTTATTTAACACAGGACTAACCACTGGCATTGATCATCGGAGAAAGGAAATTACTTCCAATTTGCAGAATCAGTATCACACAGAACTATCCTTGGCCCTGGTCATCTGGGAACTTGATCCCAAAGTTATCACTATCTAAGGTACGGTGGCCAAGAGCCAAGGTCTGAGGCCATGGACAGCAAGCTCTCCTATCTAAAAGAGGAAGAACATGGATGTGTTCAGGGCCTAATGGAAGAATCCATTTATTTTATTCTCTGATCCCAGGTTCACCTACGTTTTAAAGTCATGCCACCAAGTTTGAGAGGGTAATAAGTCAATCGTATGATCATCTTAAACTCCTGGTTTCAGGGTAGCTCCAGAGAAGACTTTTAGTGACACCTCCTTCCCCTCATGTGCTCTCACTGCTGCCTGCTGGGCACCCACCTGGTCCTGGGGGTCCATCTTGGTCATCATCCTGTCTTCCAGGAGGTTAAAGGTGAGAACTTGGAGAACATAGAGTTGGTGCGCCATCTCATTGTTAATGGCTCGCTGCGCTCGGATGACATGCTAGAGAGATGATTCACAAATGACACTTTTAAATAACAAAGAATAAGCAAAAATAAATAAATAAATAAATAAATAAAGGTTAACCCTTGTTGTTACCCCAAGTAGAACCTCAACAGTGTTTATTTGGATGCACAAGGGATGGAGAATTACGGAACCACCTCTCACAAGAAAATCAGGGCACACATAATCTCAGAGCTTTCCTTTACATTGTGGGGCCCAGTAAGGTTCCTGATCTTGAGGCCAAAAACCTGGAAAAGACCTACTGTGTGCAGAAGCTCCTGGATGAAGGGGGAAAGGTACTTCAAGAAAAGATGTACCTGAGATGAGTGTCTGGAGGACACCTCTGAGTATGCTGCAAGGGACCAGCGGCACCCACCTATCATGAGAACCTTATGGTCATCTCACCCCAGGATGGCCTCTCCCAGGTTTTACCACTTCTGATGGGGGGGGTAAGTTTTAGAAGCAACACACAACAGCAAAATAGTCATCTGATTGGTAGTGAACTCACTGTGGGAACTCCACAAGCCCCACTTCCATCCTGGTGCAGTCTGCAAATGCCGCTACATTTTTTTTTTAAACAATTATTAGTTAATAATTAAGTGAAAAGTAAAATGACATTTCTTCATAGAAACAAGACTAAAAGCAGGACAAACATAAAAGGGCTGGCAGGAAGTTGGACGCATGGGGCTTTGCTTCCACCACAGCTCATACAACAGCCAGGTCTAATGTGTATCCTTTTCCGAGAGACCTTGGCTATACTTTGAAAATGCCAAATGACCAGTCACAGTGGCAAAACACTATTCAGATCCATGATTTTGAATGCACTAGACCCAGCCAGGCCCTGCTATCTATAAGAGAGCTTCGTCTCGGCACCCCCTGTTGCTACCAGTAGACTGCTGGAAACTCACTTCCAAGTGACCCTTCAGATAAGGCCAGAGCTCCCCAACATGAAAAAAAAATTATCGAATAATTAGCCACTTTCTCTAGTCTCATGTACCTTTCCCAGAGAGTCATGGTAAAGGCTCTTGGTCACACTCTAGGTTCTCAGGGTGCTGCCTGGCTACCTCCTGACCTGGCACGCACCATGGCTCCACATGGGCTGTGAATATGACATTGAAGCAGCCTGCTAAAAATGGAGGAGACGGAGAAGAATGAGGGAGAGAAGGACAAGGAGGAGGGAGAGAAGAAGGAGGAGGATGTAATTCAAATGGCTGAACCAGAATTATGGGAGGGGAGAAGCTAGAGGAAGGAAGGTAGGGGTTGGGGTGTTACACTCCATATCCTTCATTCTCCAAAAGAGAATGGTAACTTGTACAACTTTAGTGCCCCAAATGTATGGGCATCCATTTTATTAAAATCTCCCAGACCTCTGCACTTCAACTTGCTGTCAGAGACTAGAAACCTTGAACTTCCAGCTATGGACATTTCATAAAAGAAGTGACTCTGAAGCCAATTATCTTTAAGACAAGGTGGCTATTGTCATTCCACCCACTCATTTCTCTGAAGATTCCAACCTCAAGTGCCACGCCCGGGAGGTATGAAAAACAAGCTGAGCCCTTCTTCATCCATCATTTCCAACCCTTCATCTCCCACCTGGATCCCTCTCCTTGCGCAAACACCTTCACTGAACTACACCTTACTATTGACTGCAGCTTCCACATTTTTAGGGCCAAGATAAAGAATGGCCTATTATGAATCTTTCTGTACTTTCTACAAAGCCATAATTAGAGTAGAATCTATTAGGCTGTTTTATGAAGACACATTTCAGATTTCAGTTTGGGGATGGGGGGCATTTTGCCATCCCTGAAGAACTGGAACTCCTCTTTTTTTTTATCAGATGGTGAAATTTACATTTCATTCTTGATAGCCAGGAAGTTTAAAATCAAACTTGATCACCAACTGCAGTCCTTACCATTGGTCTTGAGTTCTAGAATATTTAGTTTCTTTGCCTGAAAAAAGATTTTCATTTTTAAGAAGAGAAAAGGAGGCAGGGAAGGAGAAAGACAGAGAGAGAGAAAATGTGGTGTGTGTGTGTGTGTGTCTGTGTCGTTGTGTGTCTGTGTGTGCCAAGTATTTCGTAACTGACTCTGGAGAGACTGCCTCTCTGAGGCCTTGCCAATTTCTAGAGATAACAAATTACTTCTTTCATATGCAAATCAGCTGGAGCTCATGCCACCAGCCCTCTGTCCTCATCACCAAGGAACATGTCCCAGACAACTAGAACAGTCCATAAATTCTAAAACCCACTGAATTTATTGAAACTTCCCAATCCTAAACCTGCTTGGCCACTTTCTCTAGCCTCATGTACTCCTTTCCTAGAGAGTCATAGTAAAGGCTCTTGGTCACACTGCCCCTGACTCCTGACCAACCTGGCTTCCCTGTGAGGACCCCTCCTGGTTGTGGTAGGCTCTTCCTTTTGGGAATTATAAGTAGCAAGCTCTTCTTTTCACTGGCAATGACCTCTAGACCTGCTGGCTTCATCATAACTGAGTAATAATAAAACATTGTGGTGTGTGTGTGTGTGTGTGTGTGTGTGTTGTGAATTCTAAGCTTGCTGAACTAGAATCCCATTATCAGAATTTTTTTTTTCGTTCTAAGCAGAAAACCTGCTTCTCTCAAGTAGCTGAGAAGGCCTCAGGAAACCTTGCGGTTTGGTTTAGTTATAAACACTCACAGTGCGACTTTACGGGCTACTTTCTCCCTGAGGTACAAGATCAGTTCTGCACTGCAGTTAGTGAGTGGTTCCCACGTACTTTCCTTCTTTCCTCCTGTAAGGGGGCCAAGAAAATGATGGCCAAAATTTCAAGGCTTCTCTCAGGGCCTGGTATGTTTCCAGACAGCTTCCTCATTTAAAAAAAAAAAAAAAGTACAAGTGTAAGAGTTCATTTTGGTGTTTTTTTTTTTTTTTTAAGCCCCTGATGTCCTTGACTGGAAAGCCAAAAGTCTCAGAGTCTACACTTAACCTGCCACAGGAAGAGGAAGGTCCAGCTCCTCAGGCCCCTTTGCTTCCTAGAGCAGGGTAAGACTCCTCCCGCCAATCACAGGAGGCAATTCCTGTGGGAAAGCCTTACTTACTCCAGTTTCACACACACACATTCCCCTCCTTTATAGACCCTGCTGCTTCACCACGTTCCTGGTCACAGAGCAACCACAACTGAGGCCAAAAGAGAAATGACAGCGCACCAGGCTGCTCCTCCCAGCAAGGCAGTCACAGCCCCGAGGTACTCACTGTTAGAATGATGGAGCGCAGCTGCTTCTGAGCCAAAATATTCGCCATCTCCTGTAGAAGAAAAGCACACCCACACGAAGGCTTAGGTTAGAGAGACACATTTCAGCAGGGCCAACAATGACTTTATCCTGGGGTGTGCTTCGTAACTGTATATCAGCAGTATTTCTTAGGAACTCCCATTCAAAATTTTTTTTTTGCATATTCCATTTAGATTATAAAAGCCAGATCCAAAAACAAGGAAGGAAAATCTGGCACCTGTACACTATTTTTTTTTCCTTTAGAAAATTCTTCTTTGCAGAAAAAGGTGAGTGCTGAATAAAAATCAAACATTCCAAATGAAAGCAACGGTTCTCCATTAGAAAGGCTCATCACCTTTTATTAGACTGTGTGCTGAAAGCTTCTGCAAGGTAATGCATGCCTACTACAACATTGTCCGATATGAAAGAACCATCGCTTTAAAGAGCTAAGTCTTCTAAAAGCCAGTTCACTTTTATCTGTGCAAGACCAAAGGGGGAGTAGCACATACCCCAGACTGGAAAGCAGGCTCTGCAAGTGAGCCCAGTGGGGTTTTAGCAGATGTCCCATATCTGGGCAGATGTCGAGCTCTGGTGTTCATACTCGGCTTCCACTCTGCTAGGGCTCGTTCCTGCAGGTAGTGCTTTGTGCTCTGGCATTTCCTGACTGGCACAGAGAACTTAGGAGTGGTTTCACAGACAACCTTTATCAATATTGACAAGTAGATACTAATTGGAAAATTAAAAAGTAGAGCATGGCCTTGGCCTTGGTGTACTTTCAAAAAAGTCAAAATACTGCTCATATTCAGGAAGACACTGAGATGCTGGTTTTTGGTGGGGAGTATTTTTGGCGTTGTTACTCTTACTAAGCAGAGAAGAAAAAACTAAGCTACGATTCAGACAAAATAACCATAAATTCTACCAAGGTTGAAATAAATGTGCAGAAAGCTAGGAGAACCAAGAACATGGGGGGAAGGAGCTACGAGGGGACACAGGGAAGGTGGACAGGAGCAGAATGGCAGAGCGGGGCCTACTTATTCAGGCTGACGGAGGGAACGTGGGTGACTTACAGTCAGAGGACAATCAAGGATGTCAACATTGCTCTCTACATCAACCTAACGGCGTCATCGCCACCACAGAAAGGAAAGCAAGCAGGAGAGAAGAAGGGATGGAAATTCAGAGCACTCTGTTAGAGGTTGGCAGCTTCAATGCAAGGCCCCTTCTGACCCACCACACTGAGAAGCCGGTAAATACTGTCAGACGATTCCCAAGGGTGGATGGCATGGGAGACCAAACCCAGGACAAGGTCCTCTCCCCCACTCTTGGAAACTCAGAAACTAGAGCAAGGACACATTCAGAAACAAGCTCAAGGACAACCCAAAATGGAACCTGTCCTCCATACTGCAGAGAAAGCAGCTCTCTCCTCCCTATCTAAACAGAAAGGCCTGGAGATTTGTCTTGTTTTGCTTTGATTTTGTTGTGTTGGACCAGATGACAAACAAAAGGCCCAAAGAATTCTACATCTCTCTTAATTTCTTTTTATGAATTTTAAAAATTTCCTTTACAAAAGTTAAAGTACTGCCCAATAGTCACATGAACCAAAAAAGAAAAAATATTCCTTCTCTATGCCTATTTTGGCCTGTTTATAAAATATTAAAGTTAGAAGGGACAACATATTTCTGATATCTACTAAAGCATTCATTAATTATCTGTTTACAATATTTATCTTCTGCATAACACTATGGGCTTCTCATGGGAACAGAGAATATATTATGCTTTGTATTCCCAGCTCAAGGCACGATGTCTAGCACCGAACAGACAATAAATGTTTGATAAAAGAACAAATGAATATTTTATGCTCCCCTACTGTGGAACAGAAGCTTCATCAGAGAGAAAAAAATATATATATGCTTGTCCACATAATGGATATTTTTGTCTAATATTGGGGAGTTGTGTAAACATGAGAATCCATGGGGAATGTTTTAGAGCACTAAAAAGATCTAAAATCATAGATAGACACAAATATGGATCTACATATACCAACATAGAAAGACGTTACAAAATATTTTTTTAGTTCTAAAGGCAGATTTTTTCCTTAAATGAAATAATGCACAGAGTATGCCTGCCTTTTATGAAAAAATGATACATGTAGGAGAATATTTGCATAGAGCAAAGCAGGAAGCAGAGCCATGAGCCATGAAGAGTCACAAGGTTCGTGAGGAACTGCAGTGGGTTCTTTTTCTGGGAATGCAATTATGGGACTCTTTCAAACTTTTTTCAAGTCTGTCTTTTCTGAGTTTTCTATCAAGTCCTTTAAAAGTTTTTGTTTCAAATAATGCTTATCAAAATCACCAATGTCTATAAAAAATTTTGGAAGACATCTCATGGACACATTTGCCATTAAAATAGTAATTTGAGGAATGGCAAATCATTGTAAGGAATTCACTCACCTAATAGCAACCCCTTTTCCTAAAAATCCATTGTGCATGTTCCCATTGTTTGTGCAGAGAAAGGAGAATGTCTTTAGTCCAGGAAGCATGGGAAAGCAGGACTTCCACCCCAAGGACAGCCAACCAGAGCAGATAGGAGGGAGAGGAGCTTTAAATTCACTTTATACAATTTGAAAACTAAAGGAAACCCAGATAATGAAGTCCAGTGAATGTGATTGAACCCAAGTCAGCAAAAGAAGCTAAAATAAATAAAAGTATTAGACTGAAGTAGGTTTTAAACACATAAGCAAACAATGAGTTCTGTAAGTGCAATACACAAGTTTTTAGACTACATTTTAATCTAATTGGAGCAAGAAAATGGTCCTGGTATCTTCTATTCTTCTGGTAAGTGTTTGTGTGACAAATACAAGGAAATTCTGGGGGTGGCACCTGCTTGATTGGCATTTGATGGGACTCTCTGCAGGTAGAGGCAAGGAGTTAGGCTTCTAAGTCTGGCTCTTACCAGCTCAGTGACCTGGTCATTTTTTTTTTTTTTTTACTCCTTTTGCATCTCAATTTCCTCATTTGTAAAATAAAAATAATACAGCTTTCTCTTAATATGTAAACTAAATTAAATTAAATGGTAAAATATAACTGAACATCATGCCTAGCACATGGCAGACTATTGATAATACTGTTATTAATGGCAGTGCTTGGCAGATTTTCCTATTTGACCAAAAAAAAATTTTTTTTTTGAGAACTTTTAGTTTTTCAGAACATATGCCAATAAAAATGTCATGTCAAAATTAGCCCGGTTAAAACTTTATTTTACTGGCTTATAGTCTCAGCTGTTAATATAATCTTCTGTTTTATAGGCTTCCAGTGACCTTCAGGAAAAAAATAGCAAACTGTTCTTCATTAAGAACTTGCAATCATTTTTAGAGCACTCACAGCTCAGAAATGTTTTAAATTCAAAAATCATAATGCTTCCTTTGTTTTGATGAACAACAGTCTTAAATTCAATGGTTTATAAAGTCAACATCAATTTTCAATGGGCAAGTAAATAACCTGTGGCTATTTTTACTTCAAGGATTGAATTTGTCATATAATACTTTGTAAATTTTTGGTGGATTATATGTACGCTTTCTTAGCTGGATTGTTTTTGTAAATGGTTTGAAGTTATTAGATTACTCTATGTGGTGGTTTATTACATGGTCAGACTGTCTTATCTATCCATATGGCATAATTTAAAAAAAAAACAAAAAAAACTTTGTTTCACAGAATCCAAAACTAAAGTTGTTTTGCTATTCCATTATATTTCCATTAGTATCAATATTCCAAAGTCAGTTGCAGATTGATACTGGGTTCCCTATGTGCCCATGGCCATGATAATTCAATTCAGTAAACTAACAGTAGTGTCTGGTGTAGAGGAAGATACAAAAGTAAGCCAGGTATATACGCCTTACTCAGGCTTAGGTCCAATAAAACCACAGTCCTTGGGCAGGCAGGAGCTTTTATTTCCTCTGATCTATCCTCTTCTTCCACATTTGAGAAAGGAAAGCCCTAAGAGTTCAGACCAGAATGTAGTCCTCCCCACCCTACATTCTCTCCTGATCTACATGTGGTTTGGCCAAATGTCCTCTATTGGGTCAGTAGAAGGATTATATTCCCTCAATGACCAGTTGAGAGCTGCCAGACAATTTTCTGGGCTGCCAGGGAGCTACCATGAGCTCAGTACTTAAGCACAAATATCAAAGGAGTAGCCCACCCACGATCCCACCTCAGACCTGCGAAGTCACGCTTACAAGTCCAGCATAGGCTCCCAGAGGCCAAGCACCTCTTCCTGGTTCTATCCAATTCAAATCAAACTCACAGGAAACTATAAAGCAACACCACTCACTGTGCAAAAGTAGCACCCCTCCCCATGCAAATGTAAACCCTGAGGAATGAACAAATAATTCTAAATGGAAAACAAACCAGAACCCCTGGCTTTAGCCCCCAAGGTTTAAAGTCGGTAAAAATAAAAAATAATAATAGTAAAATAAAAAGATTCTAGACACAGCATTTTAGTAGTATGCTGGTTAACTTTCTAATTTCTTCTCAAATAGTTCTTGGACAACCATCATGAAGGTCCCCATCTGGTTTTCTAATAGTTAAAAGATCTCATATTTCCATGAAGGTTTTAAAGGAAGTGAACTGTGACCAGGGAAATATATTATATGCTTTGTTGATAGAAAAAATATGAATTGAGGTATGAGTTAAATTCCAAGACACAGCAAAATCAAAGTTCTACTTCTTTCACATTTCCCTCTGTAATGGCCCTTTCCCTAATGGAAGAGAAGCAAAGAACTACAGAGATAGCAAAGGATAGGCTTCATATGGATACACTTAAGGGGCTCCCTTCTCTTTTTGCACAGAGGAGGGGAAAAGACTGCTAAGTCCTCCCAGTCACAGCCACATGGACAGAAGACATAGCACCAAACCCGGCCCCTCTGCCATATGAACAGTTATCTCATCCAAGGACTGTAATCTGCATCTTTTCCCTCCTTTCTTCTCACCTTTCCATCTCCCCCAACCCAGGGCAAGGCAAGACAGCTTATCCAAAATATAGGAACAGCACCTCCTTCACCCCAGTAAGCATCTATCAAACTCACACGGGTTCCATTGCTGCCGACCCCAACCACAGTGATGCTGTAGTATTCTATGATTTGGGCTTCTACCCTGAATCAGACTTCATGAAATGAGTCCCCTGACCCAACTCCCCGTGTTTTTCATCAGTCAAAGGGCTTGCCCATCCCCACCATAGGCCCAACTGCAGGACAGAGCTGCTCTGGACAGTCACCTGCAGAAAGAGCAGCAGAGCAGCCCAAAGAGTCTAGATGGGAAGGAGAGAATGTTCAGTGCATGAAACATCCCCAGCCCTGGATACAGCAGTCATAAGACTAAGGTGATGCAGCTTACCTGCCTCCTCTCATCAGGGGCCTTCAGGAAAAGTGCATTGATCACAGCAATAGTATAGGTTTGGATTTCCTGGTCTGTTCTGTAATTATATGGAACAACACAGCAAAGTCAGAAGAGGTGATCCCTGAGGCAGATCATAGTGAGGTTCATCATCACATACATGCACCCTCTTCCCAGAAGTTAGAAAGGCAGGGATTAGGAAACTCATTCAGCACTGAGAGTATATTTCAACCACCACGAGCCTGAAAATAAGGTAGGTACACAACTGCCATTATTAGGCACCTGGTGGAGATCATGCAGAAACACAGGAAGCAGTTGTCTCTCTCCAATCTCTCTTCTATTAGGATTAAAGACATGGGCCCAGGGGTTGGGGATGTACCTCAGCGTTAGAGCACTTTCCTAGCACATGTGAGGTCCCAGATTCAATTTCCACCACCATGAGAGAAAGTGGGGGGAGCATGGACCCAGGGGATATAGTCATAGTCACAACAGTCATTGTGTGTGTGTGTGTGTGTGTGTGTGTGTGATTTTCTGTGTTATGCATGATATAGATCAGAGAGCAGCTATGGATACCTCCACATTCCTGTTCTTATTTAAAGGAAACTACTTTGTCTCCATAGCTATGATAACACATATTACAAAAACCTATTTCCAAATGGAAACTTTTAATAGCAAGAAGAATAGGTATTGATGTTTATAAATTTGTTTTTCACTGGAAAGAAATCAGGAATTCTAAATGAAGCACAAAATGAAAGTAAGCTGCATGGTGAACAGTAAACAAGAAGGACATAAGGCAGAAACAAAGGTGGCCCAAAAGCTCCATTTAGGGATCATCTGTCAGGCTGGTCAGGGAGAGACAGAGCTTAGAACACAGCCTGTGGCAGGATGGGATTCAAAGTCCAGTTCTCCACAGGCTGCCTATGTGGTCTTGGACATATAGCTCGTGGGTATCCCCAAGGCACAGTTTCCTCATCTGTAAGAACAATATATTTCACAGTGTTGCTGGGAGGAAGATAAAATGAGATAATGTCTATAAAACCCTCAGCACAGTGCTTAGCAAATAATAAACTCTTTTCTTTGGTAAAGTGCATTGTGAATGAGCACATGTGCCCCTGAGAGTCAGAAAGCAAGCTGTGACTATAAATTTAATACATTTCACTTTCAGGGACATGTGAAATGGATCTTATTTCTAGAGAGGTTACATTAAAAAAAAAAAAAAAAATCTCCATTCTGGAGAACAAGGTACTATTCACTGAAGTCACAATGCGAGCTTTTTTGACTTAAATTTTAAATTCTGGTCATCCTCCTGTCTCCAAATGAAGGTGGAGGGGGGGAGGATGTGTTTTGGGAGTTTACATTATAAACACAACAGTTAACATTTTCAGTGTATTGACAGAACTACTGAATACTCTCTCACACTTCTATCCTGCATCACCAACCCAAATGAGCCAACCAGATTTCCTCTTAAGAATTTGCACATGTGACCTGAAAGACCAGAGGTACTGCCACCAAAAACAGGTCATGCTGGTGCCAGCCAATATGCTACAGGAAATGTCTGCTGCTAAGGTCTCTGCAGAGGCCATAGCTTCTTTCACAAAAGCATTGTTACTTAAGTCATTTCTAGATTCTAGTGAGATACTACTGTGTCCCTCCAATAAGCTCCCTCTCCTGTATAAGCTAGCACAATTATTTGTTGCAACTTCAACCCCAAATACTTTACCAAGTAGCATTGTATAATGGAGTCCTTGTTAACATGGTATCCTCAGAGGCAAACTTATTAGTCACCTCAGGGTGGACAGAAGGGAAAACAATCCCTAAGGACCGCAGGTTACCAGGACAGCTATCAAACAGCCACATTATAGCTCAAACATCTAGGGAAAAGCACCTTTATTATATTATAAAACACAAAAGAAGAATGTCACTCTTATCACCCTGAATATAACTAAGGAAGAAACTTGCCACTAAAAATTCCTGGTTGAAAATGCCTAACCTAAAATTTCCAATTAATTATGAAAATTAATTGGAAATAATTCATGATGTAATTCATGATATTACAGAAGATATAATCTTACATAGCTAGGGAAAGACTATTGAGAAGAAAACAAAGGGTCTTACTTTGTCTTATTAAAAGGATAACTATTAATATCCACTAAAATTCACCAAAACTGAGTCTCCTAAGGTCCAGACAGTGTCTAGACATGAAACTCATCAGGGATGGAGAGTAGGTAGGAGGTAGTAATTGTGCTGCTTCAATGTGATGGTGGATGATCATGGTACATATTTTGGTTATGGGTCAACTCAATATTCTTTTTTTTTTCTTGTACAATTAATTGGACCAATATATAAAGTTCCCCATGGCAGGATTGTGGTGGCTTCCCTGAAGTGCACCCCTACTCCCAGGGCGCCTCAGCATGCTTACCCTTGAAGATGAGGAATGAGTTGGCCAATAGTGATCTCCTGTGCCACCTTCTGGTAGAGGTCATGGCTATTGAGCACCATTGACTCCAAGATGGCCAAGGACCGTTGCAGGATTGAGATGTCTATGGCTGACTTGTTCACAAAGCTTGCTATCTGAAAATCCAAGTGGGACAACATTGATTGCTCATGGTAAGCAGTGCAGGGAAATAGATAAGGGAACAGATGAAGCAAATCAGAAACTCAATTAAGGAAACCACACATATAACAAAACAGCAAGAAATCCAATGAGCCAACAATGACTGCTCACGACATCATTCAACAAAATTGAACCTCTCTTTAAGAGATATCTTTGAAGAACTATTCTGTCTGGTCTTCTCAGCATTATTCTCTGAGCTTTAGGTTTCATAGGCAAGCAATTATAGCACATGTATTATAAGGATCCCTGTGTTTTTCTGATGCAGTAATTTCCACAAATGCTAATAGCTACTCCTCCCCCATTCCCAGGCTAGTCCAGATCCATGCCTTTTACGTTCTTATTATGTTCCTGTTATGTTCTTAAGGGACTCTCACAAATCATACTTGTCAACACGATTGAAATGGCAAATTTTCAGTGCCTGGCCACTCTCCTGGCTATTACTAAAAAAAAAAAAAAAACCTTTCCCCCCCATTCTTTCAATTTCTTATGGTTAAAATAAATTCTTCTCAATTCTCCCAAATGTAGCAATCAGGAAATCATTTAAATTAGCAGTGCTAAAAGTTAAAATACTAGTTTAAGCTCTAAAATATATTCCCTAAAGAATTAATCACTAAAGCCTCAATATAATAAATCGCAATATAAGAGGGAAATAAAATAGGGGTTAGAATAATGGATCACAGCAATCCAAACACATGGGCACCATAAAGGCTTTATTGTAGAGACCTCATTAAAAGTTATTGCAGCCTGTTGACAACTCATACTAAAAGGCCATTATTATATCAGCATAATGACTGCTTTCTTAAAAGCTGAATAACGTGGTCCCATGACCAGTAAGCACTCACTGCTTCCCTCTGTCAACACCAATTTCTCTCTTTCTGCTGTCCCGCCCACTCTGGTCCTCATCCCCTCTCTATCCCTGTACTCCATAGAATGTGAATGTCCCATGACAATTCCCAGTTGTCCTCCCAACTGTCTCCAGTGCACAGACTCCCATGGAAAGTAGTGGTGGGAGGGGAAGATAAGGACCTCCGCCTGCTCCGGATGCATCTGGACCTTTGGGGTGGGAAATAGTGAAGGGAAGAAGTACAGGGATATTAGAGTTTTACATTCCAAAAAGCTATTGTTTTATAAAAACCAACTACGGGAAGAGCATGAGAACTTAAGACCCTCAACAGACTGTTTTAGTTCCTCTCATGCCTAATAAACTCCCCAATGTGTTTACTGTCCCTGGTAAGCATCTGCACTAAACCTCACATCTGCTCCAATCTAACAAACCCACCACATGAAGGCCACCTTTGGCCATTGTTCCCTGACAAAAAATAATCCAATTGCTCTCACCCTGCATTCACAGTTTTATACTTAACTTAGGCCCCTTCTAAGTAGAGTATGAACTCCTTGACTTCTCCACCTCCAACCCCCTCACTTTTTAATGTCCCAGTATGATTGGAAAGCAAAGAACTCATAAAGACATTTGCTGGCAATAGTTCTTATTTTTTCTATTCTAATTCTCCCCTCATTGCAGGCTCCCATCTTGTCTTCACTTGTTAAATCTGGATGTTCCCTAACCCTCCCTGGAGCCTTCCACCTGAGCACCTGTTTTGGAAGTTCCTCCACCCCAGCCTTCATCCCCTCTTTTCATACATTTGGTATTTACTCATGGGTTAATTGATTCACTCAAGTAATAAGCATTGTGTGTGCCATGCCTACACCAGGCCTACCCAGTCCTACAGATCTGGAAATGCAAGGATGACCAAGAACCACACAGTTTTTAATTTCAGAGTCTTGCAATCTAGCAGAGATAGATAAAATATCCTTTTTCTATAAAATATATTAAATGCTCGTTCTTGTCATAGAAAAGGTGACCTCCATTTGTATATTTTGACAAAGCCTCAAAATTAAGCAGTGTAACAAAAATTTCATATTCTTCTCTTTCCTTCCCTGTTATTACCCTTTCTCATGTGTCCATAATCATTAGTGATTAACATTCCCAGTTCCCTACCTTTCACCTCTGTGAATACACTTTAAATACATGCTAAATATACCTTCAGCATATATACATACCACTGTCCCATGGTATATGCAGTTCCTTCATGAGGATTAAAGTTCTATCTTCTTCAGTTCCCTCTATGTTCAAGTTTTCTAATCAATGGAAATTTACCCTCTACTTCCACAAATATCTTTTGGACAATATTTCCTTTCTCAAAATGTTCAATTGCTGCTGGGCATGGTGGCACAGGCCTATAATTCCAGCAGCTCAGGAGGCTGAGGCAGGAGGATTGTGAGTTCAAAGCCAGCCTCAGCAAAAGCAAGGCATCAAGCAATTCAGTGAGACCCTGTCTCTAAATAAAATACAAAATAAGGCTGGGGGGTGTGGCTCAGTGGTCAAGTACCCTGAGTTTAATCGCTGGTACAAAAAAAAAAAAAAAGTTCAATAGTTTTTCACAAGTTTCCTGATATAAAATACAACTTTTTATAATGGTTCTTAAATTCTATAAAACCATTAACTCTCCCCTGTTCCCAACGGGCTGGTTCAATGATGACAAAATCATGTGTCATGTCATCTTTGCTTTAATTCAGGGATATTTATAACCCGCATACATATTTCCCTTCCATTGGTCATTTCTACTTATTTCTTTCCCATGAAACCAATCTTTTACTTTCATAAAAACATTCTTTAAAAATTATTTCCTATAAGTTCACCTCTTCCTTAACACAGTACCAATACTAAAGCAGGGAACCTGATGAGCATTTGTAGAACACAGTGAGCTGAGTGTCTGCCTTATAGGGACAGGGTGCTCTATTCGTTAAGTCCTATGTGCAATTCGGGAGTAGATACCAGTCACTTTTGAAGCTAACTTCTTTCTCTTGTCTTTGTCAGTGGTTTTAAACAGACATTTTGAAGGCCCTGTACTTTCACTGAATGTGTATTGACAACAAGATCAGGGCTGATCCAAAAGAATGTAATGATTATCTTCCTCAAGGGAACTTGAGACCTACTCACTAGTGAATGTTCAAATGAGGAAATGTACAAACATTATTATCTGTGCCAAGTTTGAAAACTATAGATCTTAGTATAACTACAGACAGTTACAAACTGTTCAGTTAAATTTCGTTTTCCTTTACCCCTCAAAATATTCATAAAGGTTTCCTTTGTCTTCCAATCACTCCCTGCTCCACGACTGCACTTTGGCAGACATAGCTCAGCTTCTTCTCTATGGTGCTAGGGATGGAACCCAGGCACTGCACATGTTAGGCAAGTGTTCTGAGACTGAGCTAAACCTTCAACTTGACAGCCTCTATCATAAAGAAGAACAAGTCAGAGGAGTTAGTGGTAACTATATATCTGACCTCATCATGCTGTTCATTCATTTAAAAATGCTACCTAAAAAAATCAGAGGACCATTTAGGTAACTGTTAAGAAGCTAAGCAGCATCACAGTGCATGAACCAACAGCACAATAAATACTTCTTAGGGTCACTTAGAACTTGATCTCAAAATTCTTGTATGTTATCAAAACCAAAAAGAACCAAGGAGGGCATGAAGGGCCACTCTCAACTTTTAAATTGGTACTATCTTAAGGGCAGAGGCTTATAAATCTCTCAAAATTTTAGGAGGCAAAAATGACTGGATTTCTTTTTTTAAAAATGACTGCATGTTTGTCTAGGCACTGAAAATATGTGCAGGGTGAGCCAGGTCTCCTCAGAGCTCAGGCCTCCAGAGCACATTTATGAAACTTTCCTTTCTAGAGAAGGCACTGATGTTGTACTTGGCTAGGAGGAAACCAACTCATAACACAGAAAGTTCTTTTTTTTTTCTTTCTTCTCCATGTCTTCCTACCCTTTCCCTAAGTAGCCAAGTCTTTAAAAAGCAACCACATTATATATTGGCATCAAGGGATTCCAAGTCTCAGAGTGTTTATGAAATGATGTTATTTATTGCAGCCACAATTTGTAAATCAGAATCCAGATCCATATGTAATGTAACAGAGAAAGAGACAGGGGCTGGCAGGGAAAAAATATTTCTCCAAAGTGGTATGAATTTGGCATTAATAGGAAGCCAACTTTGGACCATGGAAATAGGCATCTTTTGTCAGTGCATTTCCTAGTTGATTTTTGTGGAGATAAAGCTCCATTTAAAAGACAGTTGCCTGCCTACAAATCCGGGGTTGTCAAAGTGCTGAATTTGATCCAGCTAATGAATAAAAAAAAGTTAACCTCATAAAAAATTAAGTAATTTTCTGATGACAATTTTTCAAATGCATGTAAGAAATCTCTAAGTAGTAACGTAAGGGAAATATAATAACCAAGAATGAGACAAGGAGTATATTAAAATATGTTGCCTTTTAAAAAAAAAATTCAATTTTTTTTTTTTTAATTTAAATGGCCAAGGCTGTTGCCTTTGCTTCTTTGGATTTAATAGGATTTTTAAATCTCATTTCAATGAATGAAACCATTTTTTTTTTTAGGTACTCAGAAAACTAAATCATTGTCTTTGTCGCTGACTACTATTCATATCATTTAAAGACACACAACTTTGTCATTCATTTTTACTCATGACTGAAACTTTACTTTTAAAATATAAGGACTGGGGCTGGGGCTCAGGGGTAGAGCACTTGCCTGGCATGTGTGAGGCACTGGGTTCGATTCTCAGCACTGCATATAAATAAATAAAGGTCTATCAACTACTAAAAAGAATATTTAAAAAAATATATTAAATATAGCACCATTATATTGTCTCTCTTTTTCAAGGTCTATTGTTTTAAATGCTTTTAATGCTTCTAAGAAAATGCCATTTATTCATTTTATAGAAATGCATGAAGGTCTCCCTCAGCACCAGGTCATGAGGATAAAGTGATGAAAAAAGACAAGTTTCTCTCTCCTGGGCTCAGAGTCTGCTGTGAAAGACAGTTAAATGAACAAGAAATTCACAAAAATGGGAGAAGGCAGTGCTGGCATCAAATTACATTCTGAGATGTGAGGGGCACAGAGAGCAGTGGAAATCACAGAGAAGACCTTACTAATTAAACAAGGCTCCTGGCATGACTTTTTTGCAGTATTGGAGAAACAGCCCTGCCCTATGTGGACCAAGGATGCCCCCACTCACTATGACTTCAGTCAACCCTCCTGTCACAGGGTCCTGGCATCTAACCAGGCACAGTAAGACTCAGCTGCTATGTTCTGGAAAGGGACTGCTGTGGGGAATCCAAGGAGCTCAAGTCAGTGACTACAACCTAATTCCAAGGTGTTCACATTCCAGGACATGATAGTTACATTTTAGTAATTAGAGATGAGCAAAGCCATTTGGATATAGAAAAGAAAAGCCTGCTGCAAATTCAGAAAAGTGTTAAAATTTTTGTTACTATGAAAGTCTATACAACCCAGTCAGTACCTTCAGAGTCAGGCTTGCTTCTTCAGAACTTATCTTAGAAAAACAGAATAGAACAATTTGTTTTCTGCTCTCATAACTGCAGGCCTCCGTTCCCTGCCACCAATTAAAGAATGTACTTATAACACATTAGAATTCCTCTGGCTTTCTCATTTGTAATAATTTCTTTGCTTTTTAGGAATTATACCACTGACAAATAATGACAGTCTTCCTTTTTTATATGTTTCCTTTTGGTTTCCTTAACTTTTCTCTTTTGGCTTCATGGATTTACGTAAGGAAAGAAGATCCAGAGGTATGTCAAGAAGGCTCTGAGTTTCCAATTATCTTTTGTCTTAAATAAATCTGCAACCCCATACAGACTTTCCATTCTCGACACATCTTACACAGATGAGGGGATTCCTCTTGCCTTCCATTCCAAGTGGCATCTTTCCCAAAAATTTCAGTTACTTTAAATAGAAAATCAGTAACTTTCCCCAAGGAGCACCACCTCAACCATGTAATCAAAAGACGTACTGATGTCACATAACCCTGGGACAATGCACAAAGAAAAGGCACACCAATACTAATGTAAGACTGTTGTTCAAAATGCATAACCTTCCTTAGGTTGACCATAGGAGAATATTAGACAATCCAAACTGAGAGAGACATTCTACAAAGTAACTGACCAGTGCTGTTTGCAAGTGTCAAAGTCATGAATGACAAGGAAAAACCGAGGGACTGACAGACTGGAAAACACTAGGAGACATAACAGCTAAATTCTATGTGGAATCCAGGATCAAATCCTTAAACAAAGAAGAAAAACTGGTGAAATGAAATAACATAACTGTACTATCATGTAAAATGTGAGAATTTGGGAAAAGTGGATGAAGAGAATATAGAGTTCTCTTACTATTCCACACATTCTATACTATTTTTGCAACTTTTCTTTAATACTACCATTATTTCAGAATAAATGACTTAAACTTGAAGTGATCTTTATTGAACTTCATTGTGATTTTCTAGTCTTTGCACAGATTCACTAAAATTATTTTAGATAACTCTTCCCAAGAATCTATATTTTTAAAATAAATTTTTGAATTCTTAACATCTCTTTATAATTAACACAACAGTAGACAGAAAAAAATGTCAATTAATTTATTTCACAAATACTAAGAGAGGAAAACTTGATAATAAATACTAACCATTCAAAGTTTAATACTACATTTTAAAGAGTTACACAGTCAGCTTTGTTTGGTTTAGTTTTGGTTTTGGTTTTTAGTACTGGGGATTGAGCCCAGGGGAACTTAACCACTGAGCCACATCCCTGCCCTTAACGTTTTTTTTTTTTTTTTTTTTAATTTTGAGACAAGGTCTCACTAAATTGATGAGGCTCAGCTTTGAACTTGTGATCCTCCTGCCTCAGCCTCCCCAGCTGCTTGGATTACAAGCATGCATCACCATGCCTGGCAGGACTACTTATTTTTTCTCAGAAAAATATAAACAGAATTGTAAATGTGCAGGCATGTCTTTATCATGTGTCAATTGCTAGGAACAGTAGGGGCTCTTCTGCCCTCTCTCCCCAAGCCAGGTCTACCTTGGCCCATCCCTTTATCAGATTCTTGTCAAAAAAGGAAACAGTCAAACTGGTTAATTCCTGAGACATTTATTCCCTCAGGATACAATTAGCAGGACCCTTTATCTAGGACTCCTGAGCCTGTATGCCATGCCTGTTTTCTTCTATCTCTGGTCCAAACTTAGGAATGTAGGAAATCATCAGTGTCCTTTGCTTCTTCCCTGTCCCTGGGGATGGATCACTGAAGGATAGTAGGAACCTCATTTAGGTTTTTGAAAACTTGGAGTCCTGCTTGGGGCAGTGGTAGACACGTTTATGGTCTTTAACAACGTGGCACGTTGACTTCCCTTAACTCTGGGTTCCCATATGCAGTCTCTTATAATGTCTGCAGAGACAAAATATCATTTTCCCAAAGAATTTGGGTGCTCTCATCCCCACATACCTAATGCTATAAAACACCACACTCACCTGTTAACATAAGGAACCAAAAGAAACAATTATAGAATATTTTCAGAGAAAAAAATCTGTGAAAGAGGAAGCAACATAAGCCCAGGGAAGCACAGTCCACATTACCTTCTTAATAAACGCCACCGAAAATGTATCCCACGACACAATGCCATGGTCCATCAGCTCCACAAAGGCCGTCAGGGTGAAGGACAGCATGTCTCCAAAGCTGCAAAACAGAGTCATGGGCCCAGAACTGAGCACTGGGAAAGATGCAGAAAGCCTCGGGAAAACAGAATTTTCAAAGACCCCTGGCATAAGCCGCTGGACACAGACAACTTCCTCACACACCAGTGTTGGAAAGGGGCATTGGCTCAAAGTCAGCCGGGGCTTCAGAGTTGAACAGGCTTGGCCTCACGCTGACCTCACTCTGGAGAGCTGCATCACACTGGGAAATTCACTTAACCTCTCTGAGCCTCTCTTTTCTTAGCTGAAAAGCTGGGTAGTGAGTAATAGCTATTTAACCACAAGGCTGCTTGTAGGGCACTTAATAAAGTGCACATCATATAAACATTCAGTAAATGCCAATGTGAAGAAAAACTTCTCAGTAAATAAAAGATCTTTTAAGAGAGGGCAATGTGGTGCTTTTATTATCCACAGCTATCAAGGGGGAAGATTCATAATAACAGTGAAGAGTATCAGCCTTTGGAAAGGATCCAAGAGCCTGCACTTACCTCTGTGTGTGTACTCAGATACAGTATGTGTCTAAGTAAAAATGGCTTACTTTGATGTTATACTGGCCAGCACTCCATCTTAAGCCAGTGGGTTTTATGTAGTAGCTACAGAGACAACAACCCCATGTGAGGGCTTTGCTGACCCTAAACTTACTGTGATTCAGAAGCTGTAGATAGAGTCTAATGTGTGATTTAGAAATCAGAGAAAGATTAGGAGGTGCTATGGCTTGAACTAATGTCTCCCAAAAGTCCACGTGTTAAAGGCTTGATCTCCAGCTTGGCGTTTTTGGAAGGTGGTGGAAATTTTAAGGTCTTCAGGTCTCTGGGGATATGCCCTTGAAGAGCACTGTTGGGCCCCTAGACTCTTTCTTTTTCACTTTCTGGCCATGAGATGAATGTTTTGGCTCCATCAGAAGCTTCTGCCATGATGTGCTGCCTCTCCCAAAGCCATAGGGCCAATCAGTCATGGACTGAAACCTCTAAAACCATGAACCAAAATCGACCTTCTTTGTTTATAAGTTGTTCATCTCAGGTATTTGTTACAGTAATGGAAACTAACACAGACAGGCTCAGGTAAAAGCACTTTCTTTCTTTTTTTTTTTTTGGTTTTGGAGATTGAGCCCAGAGGTGCTTTTACCACTGAGCCATCTCCCCAGCCCTTTTAATTTTGTATTTTGAGAGGGGGTCTCACTAAATTGCTTAGGGGCTTGCTAAGTTGCTGAGGTTGGCTTTGAACTTGTGATCCTCCTGCCTCAGCCTCTATAGCCACTGGGATTATAGTTATGGACCACCATGCCTGGTTAAAAGCACCATCTTTCTATGATAGTTCTATCTGGAGCACTTGGCAGACAATATTCTGGTTACTAGTGCTTTCCAAAGATATTTTGACAGACATTTATATACTCAGAATCCTTTACAGATAATCACCTTTACCATGAATGATCAAGATCACAAATATTAATTCAAAATTCTCAAAATTAATTCATTCTCTCTCTCTCTCCCCCCCCCCAGGACATAAAATTATGCCAATCAGGATTATTGCACTATTTTATATGGTTGATTTTTTAAAAAACAAAAGTTAGTCATGTATTTAACCTATAGGCCATTATTTCTACCTTACGAAATCTCCTAACAAATTTAGATAGAATCTTCCCACTTATTTTCAATTAATGAAATAGAAAACAGGTTCACATTTCTTTTAAAACAGCTTCTCAATTTCCCTTCCTGTTATTGTTCCACTTAGTCCAGTCTTAAAAACAACCTTTTAAATTCTGCCTCACCTTAGAAGTTGTGATGCTAAAAGAAGCCTATAGAAAGGGAAGTCTCCCTTTAAAGAAGAACTATCATGCTAGGCCGCTGAGACCAGAGGGGAAGAGACTCACTAGACGGAAATGGCTGAGGGAGTGGTGTCTGAGGTTCCCCTCCAGCTCTAAGTGGGCAAGTTATCCACCATCCCAGACTTCGTTTCCTCATTAATTAAAAACACGGATGAGGATGATGGTAGCAATGGTGGTATCCCACTCGGAGACCACTGGAGAAAGAAAATGAGCTAATATACTAAAATCCCTTCTAACAGCATGTGGCAAATAGCAAGCAGCATGTGAGTGCTAGCTATTAGCACTATAACAAAAGTAGCATTTTAAAAGGTGAATGACGTCCATAATGTTCATTCATTTTGCCGTCATTGTGCAAAGAATTCTCTGTTCTTAGAACCAGGAGGGAAAATGCAAGAAAAGCCAAACCATTCAGGCCACTTGGAAAAGCACCTCTAGCCTTTCAAAGCAGCACACAGCCAGGCCCAGTCCTACAGGTGCCCCTAGGTGGCATCAGAGGCTCATGCCTCAAAAAGAAAATCCAATGTAGAAAAACTTACTGGAAGGAGAGAACATAAAATTAGAAAGATGGGAGGAAAATGAGTTTAACAGGTTAACAAGAAAGGTTAAATAAAATTTCTAGAATAACTTTCCTTATAGACAATGAGTCACTAGAAGATCCACGTCTCAGATTGCAGAAGAAGAAAACTGCTTCAGGAAAATAAGAGCCAAGCAGTAAATACAACTAGTAAGATTTATTAATAGACTAGGTAAACACTAGTATTACTGTGAAAAAGTTATGACATAATAATATGTAATATTGTTATTAGCAATATGAGCAAACATTTTATTTATTTACTTAAAAACAGAAAAATAGTCACCATATAATAACCAATAATTAGCATTTGCTTTTTTCTGGGATGGTTAAAGTCTCAAAAACTAAGATCGTCTCATAAACATGCCAGGAGATGACGGCATCCAGGGCCTGCACCCAGGGCTATGAAAATTCCTGCCTCAATGATGTTAATAACAGAGCCAGCCATGGAACAGGCCATGGCAGAGGAATACACAGATTGTTGGAATCAATATCCTTTTCACAGTCCTAGTCAGCAACCTGAGACTGAATGCAGATGGCATTAGTCTTGAAGTCAGTCTTCATCAGCTGCTTTAAAAGCAAAAGATAAGTTATATACATGCCCTCTATAATCTTAAGGTAAAATGACTCGGCTCCCTATTTACCTACTGAATAGAACTCTAATCCAAATGGTGCTAGTAACATCTGGGAATAATTGATCTCCCCTAAAGTGCTCCAGAACTCTATCTACAGACTCCTCATACAATCTGCAAGAACCCTGGAAAAAATGATGGAGAGCAGGAGAAAGAATACCAGTTGGTTTCCAAATCTCCTAGTTGATTTGGGGCCTAGGACTACAATCTCTATAGCTCTCCAAGAAGTGAAGCAGCATTTCTGAGAGGGTTTTTCTGTGCTTTTCATTTATCCTTGGGTGTGAATGACTGACAAGTGAAAGAAGAGCTTCTTCACACCACACAACAATCAAGGTGTTCACAGGAAGTATCATTTTCTCTATTTAATAACATGATCTGTAGGTAGATACATAGAATGAACCCTATAATCTATTATATATTAAATATAAATAATATTGTAATCATGTATATCATATTAACAAAATATTTAACACATCGGCAATATACTCATTATATAAAAGACTATATACATATATTCTATATATGACATATATAATTCATTAAGACTGATTGATTGAGTAGCATAGTATATTTCTACAAAGAGGAACTTTTTCAAAATTAAACCTCAAGCCTTCAGTTGCAAGGAATGCCATGCTAAAATTTTATTACATTGCAAATAAAAGGACCTATTTTAAGTGAGATGGCTATAAAAGCTCTTATTAAACCCTGACATCAGTGTTTATTTCCACTCCTTAGGGGAGTAATTCAGACTCCAAAGAGGGAAGGCAGGAGCTAAGATTCTACCTTTGAAATCAATGCTGAGTGCACAGTATCAAGCCTTAAAGGAATTACAAATATAAAGCAACCACATGGCACATTAGGAACATTTTAAATTTTATTTGGTTTATTTGTTTTTGATAAAGTGTGAGGCTAAAGATTCTGCAGTACCGACTGCCACGAATTAAGCCATCTGCAAACTTTACACGCTGGTCGACAGTCACTGTCACAGCCAACACACCATGTGTGCTGGAATGATTCAAATAAATGTTTCTCATCAACTTAGTAGAGATCATCTCTATTCCAACAAAATCCAGCCGATCTCAAAACAAGCATGTAAATTTATGTTGCTAATTTTATAAGAGAATTATGCTTCCAAATGTTTCTACGCAGTGGCATGTTCAATATAGAACTGGAGCAACTTATAAAGCTATCAATAAATCATACTGAATAAAGATCCTTAATTGCCAAAGTTAATAGTTAATAGCTATAGCTCTGCCCTGCCCTTTGAGTTTTTTCATTATTTTCTACTGATGGGGGAGGGGTGGTGATGGTAAAATTTACCCATAAAACTATTTAGATACCTCCTTAGCCTTCAGAATCATAGTAAACATTAATGGATCCTTTTTAAAGATCAAAGTGGACTCTACTCTATATCATTGATTTTGATTTGCCTCTCCTCTTGTATTGATATCATTCTCCTTTGACAACAAATGATAGCAAGACTTGAAGTCAGTTAAGGAAAGATTCCAAGTTTGTTTTTTGGATTGTTTGGGCTATTGTAGGCTCTATGGATTTCCAATTAAATTTTAGGTTTGGCTTTCTTTTTAACAAAAAAAAAAATGACTGATGTTGCACTGAACCTATAGATTCACTTAGGAAGAATTGCTCTCTTAAATATTATCTTTCAATCCATAAAATGATATGTCTCTCCACTTACTAAGGCCTCTAATTTCTCTACACAATATATTTATTTTTCAGTGGACTGCATGTCTCTTGTTGAATCTGTTCATAAGAATTTGATGACTTTTGATCATCAAAATGATCTTTGATGCTTTATAAATGGAATTTTTTAAATTTCATTTTCCAGTTTGGGGCAGTTAATATACAAAAATACATGGATTTTTATACAGTGATGTTGTATCCTGAGACCTTGTTAAATTCAACCATTAGAACTAGCAGTCTCTTTGTAGAGTTCT